TGTAAGTTTGCATATTCTTCCTTTTGTGCATTACAATCCACATACCAAGGAGCTATAATAACCATTGCAAAGGGTATATAAAAGAGAATTACGCAGGCATACAATATATATGTGTATATACATATGTACATTTATATAATTTGTAAAACATAAAACCTGCTGCGGCTACTTCAACTCAATTAACCCACCAACAGCAGCCGCAACATTGTGTTGGTTCAACTTTTGAGCTCTCATTAAGGCTCCCCCAGTCGCAGCCACAGCCACAGTCGCAGTCGCAGCCCCAGCACACCCTTCACTACTCGCCCAAACCCCCGACCTCATTAAACCGAAATATAGTACTCTCGTAAATCTTCCTGAACCTCTCTGACGTCCGACACTATAACAAATATTATTTCATTCCACGTTTTGTTCTTTCTGCAAGAATTGTTTCTGCCTTTTTTTTTATGGGACAATTTACTTTATTTCAGTCTATAAAAGGAAATGAAAGCAAATTGTTGGTTGTTTTTTCTTAACACTATTAATTGTTAATGTCTGGAGCTTATGAAAGAAGAGAATTCAAGTGTATGTTTGCGCAAATAAAAGTAAACGGAAAGACAAACCAAAAGTCAATGTCATTTGTTTCTTTGTTTTCGTGATTTTTTTTCCCAGATGAGAACTGAATTTTAAGTTACGGAGCTACTGATGGTTATGTATGGGAGGAGATAATCTTAATAGATTGTACATGTGTGATGTACAAAATGGTACAATTATATGAGGAACATGGATTCAAACAATTCAATTAGCTGGAAAGTAAATGGCTTCTGATTACCTGTTATGAACTTTAAGAGTGGCTTAAAATGATTACAATGAGTTAAGAAAACATACATGTATTTGCTGAGAAAATAAGATACAAGGAACCTTTCAACATTTCTATTTCGCGCACAGAGTTGCTTAACAGTAAACAATTTCTAACAGATGATTTCTACATAAACGCCTTCGAAAATGGGATTTCTACAATGTGTAGGTGGTAAAACCTAAGAGGATTAAATAGTTGTAAAACTCTGAATTTCCCATTGCTCTACCTGCCAGAGAACACACATTCCCACGTTACTTTAAGTACTTGGAAAAAGGGTTTCGTTTTCCTGTGCCCAATCTTTGCCACCACAAAACACCGCACTTGATTTCTCTCTAACGAACGACAATAATAATAATAATTCCAATGCTAATGATGCTGCTGGGTTCTGTGTGTCTGTCTGGCTCCTTTTGAGGTGTGGTGTGTCTGTGTTTGCCAATCAATTCTATACAAATTTATGGCATACATTATAGTTTATTCAATCATTCAATTAAATGCATTCCAATGCGTTCGCACGTTACCTTCCTTTGCGCCTTACTCTCTATATAACTCCTCAGTCTGCGCCCGATCTCTACACCACAGTGGGGCACATGACACACATGACCAAAAAACACAAACAAACAAAAAGTATTTACGTCTCGTACGAATGCGAATTGCGAAACTGTTTAATTTAGTTTCGAGTCACTTTTTTTCGTATTTATTTTGAGACATTCTTTCGAGCCGCCGGGCCGTGTCTGGGGTCCTACTCTGAAGCTAAAGCTGAGGCTGCGGCCCCCGATCAGAATTTACGATTTATTTAACCTGACACTGGCTGCCACAGCCACAGCTACAACCACACACAGTGCCAAAGCTAGTGAGACAGCTAGAGCCATGGCTAAATTGATATTTCTCTGCTCTTTTGAGTAAACATTAGAATCAACTTTTTCGAAATTTGCTGTTGACACAGTTTATGCCCAGGCAATCGCCCGCCTGCACCTGAGTATCTCTGTATCTCTGGGGGTCCCTGAGCGAGCGCCTCTGAGAGGCAGGTCTTAACAATAATAAATTGCATTCTCAGATCTAGCCTGGCCTCTATTGAGAACTCTCGAGTGGTTCGAGTGTTTTGACTCTAAACAAATAACTTGGCTGTGGTTTTTTTTTGCATTTTAAGCAGCCTGGGAAATACACACTGGTGCTCTGGGGAACCCAAATTTAGCTGTTAACAAGATACAAGTATGATGAACAAAAAAAATGCTTAAAAATATACACTTTTGATAAATGACTTGGCATTTTGTCTCCCAGCCATTGTTTGCATTCAAAGCTGGACAAAAGTTAGCCAGAAAACAGAAATAGAAATATCCGTATAATATAAATTGAAAGCGTTTACCATTATTATATGACATGATGATCAATCATCGGGTAACATTTGGAAAAAAGTGGCCAAAAAATACGGCAAATAATAATAATGCTGATATAAGTAAAAGTCTTTGTGGATGATTGGCATATCTTTCGATCATTAAATAGTATTTATTGAAACGCGATAAAGTTCTCCAACAGCTACGAAAGGAAGTTGTTAAATTTCTCTATCATAAAGTTTCGTTTGTTACTTTTTGCCGACACCTTGGGCGCTTTGAAGCGCTCCTGTCTTGATTTTTTTTAAATTTTGCACACAAAACTGTCGTCCACATGGCAAATACTTCCTCATTACGCCTTTTGCATTATTCTTTTAAGCGCGCGCGCTGTTTTGTATGAAAGATACAGTGGAGCTTCTGCTTTAAATAAGACTTTTGCTTGGCGAGTCTAGAATTAGAGGAAATTATTGAACATTTAATTCGGATCTGGTGGAATTGAATGTAAAAGCGTATAAAATTCCGGTAAAATGGAAGCTCATTCCTAAGTCATCTAAGTACACTCAAATAAGTCTTGAGTCTCAGAAATGTTCGTTTTAAAGATCTTCAGTTCGAAATATCGATGTTTGACTGTCTATTTATATATTTTATTTATATTTCTGTTCGTTAATTTAATGTGAGTTGAGGGTTTTAAAATGCGCGCTCACGCACAGTACAAAACTTTGCAATTATGGACACCGGGGGGAAATACAATCCAAAAAGGTGGAAGAAAAACGAGGAAAAGGCATAAATGATAATGGCTGGGCTGAGGAATGAGGTAGGGCAGGGCAGGGCAGGGCCCCATACAAAACAATTATTTAGTTTTTGTATTTTTTATTGTTTTGTTTAAATTTTCTTACAAATTCAGCGCGCTTTCTTTGCCTTCTTTTTTCATCACGACGATGATCATGGTGTGGAGAAAACGAAAACGAAGACAAAGACAGCACAGTGGATGTCAATGGCCCCAAGGGATGGGCCTGGGATGGGATACCAACTACTGGGCTTTCTCATATATGTATATATATACATAGTTGTACGATTATGTTTGTGACGAGTGTATCTATGAATGGAGATGGCAACCGAACCGCCTCCGCCGCCGCCCGCATACATACGATGACATTTACATAGTACAACAAAGCATAAATGGATGTTGTGGTCGAAGTCCCCATCAAAGACATGAACAAAATAAAAGTGAAAGCCAGCAAATTTATTGACTCCCCAAAGACACCTGCAGACACTCAAGGTCATTGCTTAGAAAAATAAAACAACATACACAAGCATAGTTTTATTACTAATGATATGGCCATAGACCTGGCTTTTGTCCGAGTCCGAGTCTGAAGCTGAAGCTGAGACTGAGGCTGAGAGCCGCTTTTATCGGGTATCAACTTCCTATGGAATTGGCTTTTTCTGCTCTTGCTGCTGCTGCAATTGCTCAGGCAGCTCCAGACAGCCATAAATTACCATAAATTCCATGCCTTTAATATTTATATTTCTAAATCACGAGCACGATTTTTTTCAGCTTTATAGTTGGCCATAAAAATCAGTGTACCTCACACAAAACAGTACAGAAAATTGCTAACATGATTAGATAACAAACGTACCAGTTGTCTCATGCAGCTAAGAGTAGCAGGCTATTCCGATCAGATTCAGATTAGACCACCGCAGCCGTGGCACACAATGATGGGCATGACCGTGTAGAATTGTGCTGGAAGCTAGTGTTTCCAATTGAGATATACCCCAGTGCAAATATGATTAAGTGGCTGAAGTGGAAAGCAAATCAAAATGTCGACAGTGGTGTTAGTCGACTGGAGGATACCTAAGAAGTGGATTTATGATCTTGATAAACTTTAATATTTATAAATACATATGTATTACCATTGTGGAAATAAGTGCAGTGTGGAGCAATGTGTCTCGACATTCCCATTCCCATGCTTATTTCATTAATATAAGTTTTCCGCAATCACCAAGAACTGTCTGAAAATACCTCATACAATTAGGCAGCAAAAGAATCACCTTCCAGATACTTCTGTTCCAGCCAAAGTGTCGCACAAATAGAAGTGTATTACTGCCGTGCACTATTTTCGTCTAGAGATAGTTACAGCTTAAATTGTTGAAAATAAATGTGCAAATGTGTGTTTACTTATACTTATATGTGCCATATAGAAAATTTAACCAAAACAACTGCCTTTGTTGTTCCATAATTTGCGACGTCTAAGCGCCTTTCAAGCGTTTTAAACTTAATCACTCTTGCATACTCGTAGCAGTTGCATCTTCAACTAGCTTTTTAGCAAACAATTTGCTATCTGAATAATGTGAAAATTAGTATACTACTTACGAACCCCCTGGACAAAGTCGTGTGGCAAAAAAGTAATTATAATAGCGAATAATATTTACATATTGTAAGATGTTGTGAGAAAAACAGAGACGATCAAATACAGAAGCCAGAAGACTGGAGGAGTGCTAATTATGCGGTAATGTATTATTACACTCGGGGTTGACACTCGCTTTTCGGAACAAATACTCGCAAAATCTTCCAATTGGGTGTGAATTGGTGCCTAATGAGGAGTGAAAGTGTGTCCCAGCCCGGCTCTTACCGTTAATTTGTGGCAACAAAATGAGAGTTACAATAATAAATTGAGGAAGTTGGTATAATTTATGCAGATTAAAATGGAAAATTACTGCATTTTGAGTAACTTTTTATAACAAATCAATTTAATTAGAATTATTATCCCTGCGACTCCTTTTCCCAATTTTCCTTTGAACAATTAAAAAATTAAAAATAAATATGTGTTTCATTTCAGATCTTTCCAACATTAACATGGTTATGGCATCCGGATATTGATCGCAAAAATATATCAAAAATCATCATTATGGAAAGCAGCAGCAGAAACTTAACAATGGAGCCACCTACAATGGAGGACGTCGGCGGCTCGGATGAGGTGGACTTTATTGTGGCATCGCACAATAATAACAATGAGTATGAGGATCTGAGGAGCGTCAGTCAAGCGGTGATTAACACCAAAGCAACACCAACAATAGCAACAGCAGCTACACCAACAACAATTACACCAAACAACGAACCAAAAGTTGCCAACAGCAACACCAACAACAACACAAACAACAACACAAACAACAACACACTGAAGAAACCCAAGGAACGGCGCACACTCTTCCACTTTGGAAGCAGCAGCAGCAACAAAAAATCAAAGGAGGAGAGCAAGGCCAAGGCCAAGGAGTGTAAGGCTACTCTACCACCCACACCCACACCGATGCCACTGGTTCCCATTGGAACACCGCCGCGACAGCACAAGTTCGTGAAGAGCAACAGCCTGGCCCGACTGCTGGGCAACACCTACAATGCCAAGAAGTTCGAGAAGCAGGAGCAAAAGCGCCTCGAGGGGTGCAAATTCAACACGTACAGTGGCCGACGTGGCCGGGCAGGACCCTATCTGGAGCGCTTCAAGCGCGTGTCCAAGGAAGATGGCGACATAGCCGGCTCCGGCGACAGTGACACAGTGAGGGTCACAAATGTCGTAACCCTCACCACGGACTCGCGGGATCTGCAGTATGGCAGCAGGCAGGAGCACGTGGGTCGCCAGAGCAGTAGCCAGGAGCAGCAGGATCAGATCAGCAGCTCGAAGGCCATGCGAACGCTGACTCGCAGTCTGGGCAAGCTGTGGAAGCGCACCCACAGCGTGGACATCAGCACACCCGATCCGGAGTTCAAAGTCTCCTACCTGGGCAACGTGCTAACTGGTTGGGCCAAAGGTGAGTACTCTCTCTCTCTCTCCCCGCTTCCCAATGAATCCCTCGAACTAATTGTGTTCCTTCAGCAGGTGAGGGTTGTGTGGAGAAGCAGCTAAATACGCTGTGGCGCAACTACACCCAGCACACGAAGCCAGATGTGATCATGCGACTGAAGGTGTGTGCCTCCGGGCTGAAGGCCACCACACGGCAGCACGGACTCACGGAGTACTGGGCCCACAGGATAACTTATTGCTGTGCCCCGAAGAACTATCCGCGCGTCTTCTGCTGGATCTACCGGCATGAGGGCAGGAAGCTGAAGCACGAGCTGCGCTGCCATGCGGTGCTCTGCAGCAAGGAGAAGATTGCCCAGGATATATGCGACACCTTGAGAGTGAGTCAGCCATCCCGCTCCTCCATTTAAACACTCCCTGATCCTTGATTCTTTGCAGGATAATCTGGACAGCGCTTTGCGTGAATTTAAGCGAGAGAAAATTCTTAAGCAAAACGCTCGCCTCAGCCTGGCCAATGCTGTCTACGACAATCCGAGCCTGCCGCGCCGCAAGATCATGCTGAGCGTGGGTGGCAACAACTATCGACCGCCCCTGGAGCGCTCCAAGTCGGCGCCCAAGCTGATGGCCATCGAGGAGGCCATCGGCGAGGAGGAGGGCGACGAGATCGAGGACACCAATGAGCCGGAGATGCGGGCGTGCTGTCAACGCGATTCCTTGTACCCAGCCATGACTTTGGGACGCCGTCGCTGTCGTCGCGGCCACTCGATACGACGAACTGGAAAGATCCAAGTGCCGTGCTGCTCCCATCAGCTGGAATCGCTGGAGTCGCCCAAGGAGGAGGCCATTTGTCCAGTGGCCAGCAACGATGGCTCCGACTCGGATGACTTTGAGAAGCTGCTGAAGTTCGACACGACATTGAGCAACGAGCTGTTGCCGTACTTTGACATGCAGCTCCACAAGACCAGCAGCCAGAGCATGGTCAGCCTCAGCGAGCTGAAGGTCGAAGAGGAGGAGGATGGAGAGCCGCTCAGTCTGCTGCCCACCATCAACAGCGATCCCAGCGCCGATCCCCAGGCCGACTACGATGCGGAAGAGCACGATGTGCCCGCCATGCGGCGCAGCGGCGTCTGCAGCGACGGCGAAGAGGACTTTCTGGACGATGCGGATGATCATTACTTCCGGCATGCCGCCATGCTGACAATGCTGCACCGCAGCTCCATGCGCAAGCTCAGGCCCAGCGATCAGGCCAGCCTTCAGTACCGCCATCAGACGCAGTCCTCCATCTCCTCCAATGCGTCCAGCTCGACGACGGCCAGCACTTCGGCGGCTGCCTGTTCGGGCTCTGGTACCCAGCAGGGCCTCGCCGGTCCAGACAGCGATGAGGGCTCAATATCCAGCGGCTGCGAGACGGCCAGCACAGTCACAAACGCCAATCACGAGGAGTACATCAAGAGACAGGGACCGGGACAGGAGTTGGAGCAGGCGCAGGTGCTAGAGCAAATGATGATCTACCAAAGACTGGAGCAGCAGCTGCGCAACAACAGCGATGCCACCAACTACAGCAGCTCCAGCAGCATCACGCTGAAGCGTAGCGACGACTCCACAAGCGATGACCTGGATATGGCCGACAAGCCGGCCTGCAGGAATAACCAGAACAAGCCCGACGATGGCTCTGATAGCGACGAGAGCGGCTATGTGGAGTTCCAGGAGAAGGAGCGCATTGTCCAGGCCAACAGTGAGCCACCACACATGGCCATGTCGTTGGTGAAGGTCCCCGTCAAGCCGCAGATACCACCAAAGCCGGCTCCACGACGTTCGCTCAGTCTGAACGCGAAGGCAGCAACAGCTGCGGCAGGAGCAGGCGGCAAGGCTTCGGGCACGGCCGTGTGAGGCGTAGTCCCCGCCACAGGGGAAGAGGGAGAGAGACAATGCTTTAACACAAAGGAAACCCGTTTACAAATTGTTATTTCTGCGCACCAACCCGTCAGCAAACCATAGCAAATACAAAAAAAAGTGCGAGAAATTTAATTCCTAGTTGTAGTCTATTATCCATTATCAGTTAGCGAGTAGCAGATAAGACATTTGTTGTTGGTTCATCGTCCGAGGAGGATCTAACGATATTACTTTATCCTTCCCCAATTCACATCCCTCATCGAAATTAATGAATTTATATTGTAAATATTACTAGAAGCCATAGGCACCATACATCTATGTATATCACACGATTGGATTGTAATTGATTGACCAATATAAATTATTATCTGAAAAGTCTGTGTCTATTTTGCAATATTCCTCCCAAAGTGAAGCAAGATGTTCTTGCTCAGAACCAGTTTCTGATATTTTAATTTTAATTCCAAAGTTGCGGCAGTTTTACATTGTACATTTAGTAGACTGGCTGTGGCTGTGGCTGTAGCTGGGCCTTACTGGCAGACTGGGGAGCCGCTGGGCAGCAAGTTTTGTTGACGCAACAAATGGCATACCGTGCCGCGGAAATCGCGAAGCGAATGGTCCTGCAGCTGCTGATTGAATACCTGTTGCAAGTGGAAACGAAAACGAAACGAAACGATTCGAGAAACCAGTTAAATGCTTCATTCGATTACATTGGCCCGGCGATCGAAGATTGAGAGTACTTACGCCATTGTAGACAATGGTGGGAATGAAGCTCGGCTGATATAATTTGGTCACCAGCTCCGCTTGCAGCTGCAGCTTGGTGCCCGTCTCGCTGTCTGCGCAATGGTCCACGTCGGTGCGGAGGCCCGCCTCGCTGGCACACTGCTCATTGGGACATTGGGATACACATGTATGTGTTTGGGTATATGTAAATGCTTGTTAATCATTTGGGCAAACACTAAGCGGCGGCTTTCACCATCGCACCACGTACCTGGTCAGCGCGAGAAGAATCCAAGGCAAACATCTGGCAGACCACGAATTTCACTTGAGCCGACTGATTGGCGGTGCTGCTGATGACACAACTCTGCACCCGATTGCCTTCGCACTCGGCGGGTCCGTGCTGGCAATGGAAGATGGCACCACTCTGCTCGGATCGGGACTTGCCGAATGGCACCAATTGAATGTCCATGTACTGTTTTAGCTCCTCGTGCACGGGCCCCAGCTGATGCATGAAATTCCTGCTATCCGGACAAAGGGACTCGTACAGCAACGTGATGTGCAGCTGGGGGGGAAGGGGAAAAGAAAGCAAAGTTAATTTAAAAGTTTCAAAGGTATCAGCATCCAGAACCTTATCCGCCTGACGTTTTTCGCGGGGTTCTTCCAGCAGTTCAGAACTGCAGTTAAGGGTCAGCATAAGCCCTAGGAGGAGACCCATGCTCAGGGCAGTGGGAAATGTCTGCATGTTTGGCAAATATTTTGAGCTATATCAGCGAAAATCGATTGGCCTTCGAGGGGTTCCGTTCGAGAATGACCGTTTATTTGTTCGTGAGCGCGGTGGTTGGCTTCAGGTGAATGCCAAGCCCAGTCCAATATTTTGCGACCGTCGAATTCGATTTTAGTTCAACAACTGAGCGCAGTTTTGTCACATTTGGGACTTATTTTCGGCCAGCACCAGAAGACCAGACCTGAGGAGAGCATGTTCGGTGACTGTCTCTCTTTAGTATTCTCGCTGGTAAGCCGGTTTCTTGAGTCCGCACACAGACATAAAGATATATTCTCCTGTTCACACCTTAAGCTAACAATGGGACTATGGTAAACAGACTTAATACCTGTTTTAGCATGCGATAAACAATTTTGTATTTCCCCCCCTGTGCTGCCTATCGAAGACCGTTGCACCAAGAAGTTAATCGATAACCTCTCACCTGTTTCAATTGGAAATGACTGTGCTGACATATTTTTCTCAGGAGCGATTGATGGTATTTAATGCCTTGCCATACCAAAAATATCAATAAAACAGTTAAAATTATATTCACGTGGACACTTCCCATGCTTAAAGGAATAAAGAACGCTACCAACTAAAGAGCTCACTTCAAATTGTACAGAAATAACATGAATATTTTACGGTCAAGCGTGAATATTGAATTTAACGCCTTAACTTTAAACAGTACCGCGGCTCGTCTATTCCAGTTTCCACTATCGCAGTGCATACACTCTTTTTGACATCCTCAGTGGCCTCATCTTGAAGACTTTCATTGAATCGCTTTTAAATATGTGAGAATAATTAGATAAATTATATTTTCGCCTGATAGTACCTACGTCATTGTATATTACAGCCGGAATTTGATCAAAATTGTACATGTTAGTGATTCTCTCGGACTGTCTCTGAAATGTCTTCCACTGCCCATTTTGGCTCATGCATTCAGTAATCGACTCCTTTATGTCCGAAGAATTGGAGCAATTTGTATCTATCTCAGTCACCAGTTTCTTGTTTGTCATCTGGCACGTTACGTAGCTCAGCTTTTCTAGCTGGGACATATGGGTACGTAGAGCACAATCCTGAATACTGTTTGCCTTACATTCATTAGGACCGTGTTGACAGACTTTTCCTCCTTGCTGATGAGACATGCAGACATCTGTTTATATTTTTTACGCGTTTTAAATTACTTACCGAAGCTTTGCCGTAGGGAACCATGTTCAGGTTTATGTGCCAATTCAACTCTTTGAAAACTGGCAAGAAACTTGTCAAGTAATCCAATGAGTCCTTACAAAGAGACTCGTACAGAACTGTCATGTTCATTCGCTGTTTTAGGGAACCATTATGAGTCGTGTCAAGATTAGTTACAGAATATATACCTCTAGACAAACCTTTTGAGCCTTGACACATCCAGGCAGCAAGACTTGCCAAACCAGCAGCAAAATCAGCAACTTGGACATGTTTCGCGCTCAACGGTTAGCTGGAAACGAACATTTATTGCACAGTTGATTGTCAAACTCTAATTCAATTATATACGATTCAAATCTCAAGCGTGAACCGCCCCGTCATTGATATCGATATCGATATATCCCATTTGCTAAGTGTGACTTAAGAAATACTCGTTTTGAGTAGCGGCCATCGCGCTTCATCGGAAAATGTCCGCCTATCGCCCTTTTATAGGTCTGTAACATTTATTCAAAATCAATATAAATAAATATCAATATACTTTTAATTAAATATTATATTATTTTCGGTGGCTTACTCACTGTATTCACTTATTTTAAGTGAGAGGTGTTAGCTTCGCTTTGAAGTTATATTTCGGTATATTTCTGAGGGTCAGACGGGCCCCACTGGTCACACTGCTGCCATCGAAAAACAAAAAAGCTGAACAACTAAAAGTTTCAATGTTTAATCCAAAAAAATAAAGTGGTTTGTGGGAAAATCATGCAGGAACTATGTCGAGTTTGCAGGTCGCCTTCCGTGACCCTAGTTGGCATATTTGATGAGCGCGAGCGGCGCCAATTGGAGGGCCAAATGGAACCGATTCTCGCTGATATGGTGATGGCATGTGCCGACGTCCAGATCAAACCCGGGGATGAGCTTCCCCAAAAAATATGCATGTCCTGCATCCTCGATGCCCAATGCTCGTACCGTTTTAAACAAAGATGTGAAAAGAGTCACGAGCAATTGTCTCTAGCCATTCGCTCGCTATCCAATCAGGAAAGATCGAAATTCAAAATGGAACTGGATGACAGTGTCATAGAGTTCAAGGGAGACAGTTTCATTGCTGAAGAGATTTCTGACAGCGCAACGCAATTGAAGCTGGAGCTGGAGCTGGAGAAACCAATAGTTAAACAGAAACTGCCGAAGGTGGCACTTGCAGATACAAAAAAGGAGAAAAGACTGACAGCCCGTAAGAAGATAAAAGAAACCAGGAGAGAGTCCTTTAAGTGCGACCTCTGCATCAAGCAGTTCCAGCATAAACGAAATCTTGAAGAACATATGAAGTAAGTTTATCCCACGAATTATTTATTCAACTCTAAAGTATCTGTACTCTTCCACAGAATTCACACCAATTCCCACATTTGTCCAACATGTGAACAGCGCTTCCTATTTAAGACAGATCTTGACCTACACAAATTTGTCCATAGCAGCGAACGGCCATATCAATGCCCTCTATGCATGAAGAGCTTTGCCACGAGCCAAAATATAACCAACCATAAATGCCTGCTGGAGGAGGATCGGCCCTTCAAATGCCCGCACTGTCCGAAGGCTTTTGTACATAACTATTATCTCAAAGAGCATATGTTCAGCCATACCGAGGATGAATCTAACAAGCTTCCCACGGGACCACACAAGTGCACTCACTGCTCGGTTGGGTTCCACAATAAGTCTGCCCTCAAAGTCCACACACTGGCTCATACTGGCGAAAGGCCGCACAACTGCCCTTTCTGTTCATCTACGTTTCGATCCAAACAGACTCTTAAGGTCCACACTCGCATGCATACGGGAGAGAAGCCATACAAGTGCCCAGAGTGCCCGAAAACCTTTGCCGACAACAACAATCTTTTCAAGCATCGACGGCGCCACTCAGATGACCGACCCTACAAGTGTCCCCATTGCGTGATGGCCTTCAGGGAGAAGCATCATATGAAACGTCATGTGCTTGGCAAGCATCGTGACAGTGAAGAAGATCTGAAATGAACAGTATTAAGAAAGGATTAAATTTGATATTTGGAATTGAATTCAGGCAAACTTGTGACATTTTTATTGTAAATTGCACCCAATTCAAATGTTTAAACGAGTGCGCAATTAAAAAATATACACCCATGCCAGAACTAGTATTTTTGGGACAACATTTTGATATTATCGTAACAAACGGCCACACTCTCATTGTTATCGTCATCGGGTTGCATATGTCCCCTCCCCGCCCATCTATTTGTTTTTATTGTTGATTTGCTTGAAAAGAATTGAAAAATTGAAAACAAAATGAAGAAAAAGGTAATGTATTTGACGACAAACTGATCTGGCTTTGTGTTAAGTGCACGTTTATTTCGAATCAGGTATTGCTGATGGGGAAGAGCGGCTCTGGCAAGACCAGCATGCGTTCCATTATCTTTGCCAACTATATAGCCCGTGATACGACACGCCTTGGAGCAACAAGTGAGTAATCTTAATATATATTCCGATGTGCAGTCAATAACAATTGCACCCGACTATTGCAGTTGATGTGGAGCACTCACATGTCAAGTTTCTGGGCAATCTGGTCCTCAATCTGTGGGACTGCGGCGGCCAGGAGGGCTTCATGAAGCAGTACATTGCGCAGCAGCGTGACAACATATTCCGCAATGTGGAGGTGCTCATCTATGTGTTCGATGTGGAGAGCCAGGAGATGGAGCGAGAC